TGCACTGAATGGCCTGGGCCCTGTGCCTTCTCGATATGCAATAGCTGGTAAGATGATGCATTTCTTAGCATATGTAACCTGCATGGTTTGAGGTCTTGCTGATGAAGCTATACAAAGCGGGAGAATATTGTGGAAAATCCGACCGAAGTTGCACAAGCCTCTTGGAGCAAATACTTCTCAGCTTTTCCCCCATGAACCCCGAACCCTCCAATCCAAGGACCGACCATATCTCCTACGACAATGCCGTTCGTGCGAATCCCCTTGTTGTTTCAACTTATCTGGATGAAGATGCTGCTTCTCAGATGGCATGTATGCAAGTTGCGATGGAAATTGTAATGTAGCATGCGCTTTGCGACTAGCTTAGGTGGGGAAGATCAAAAGACTCGCGAAGATGTCTCACCCGGTATGCTTAGGCCGCCAAACCTTATATAGGTATGCAGCGTATGTTTGTGTGCGTTGGCTACGAGCCATGACAAACGAGCCGGCATGACCGCAGAAAGGCCGGATTCTTCGATCGTGATCAGGTAGAGCAGCAGGTAGTGCAACCAGCCCAATAAGTAGATAGAAGTAGCTTTCTAAAATACCATAAAAACCACCCCATATATCAAGCGTAAGTCCCCTGTTCGCAGGTTTTGGACAAGTGCCTCCTATTAGTCGTGCTTTGCATCAAAACCTCATTAGAGGTACGTTGGGGGGTGCTGGTTTTTGGGTACCCTAAATATACGATGCCGTAGTATATTACGGACCCAAAAAGGGACCATAATTTTGACAACCACCCACATGGGTTCAGGGTTTGACATGCCGCAGCTGAGGCTGTTTAGGGTTTAGGCTCAGGGCTGAGAGTTTAGGGTGTACGGTTTAGGTTTTAGGGTGTACGGTTTAGGTTTTAGGGTTTACGGTTTAGGGTTTAGGGCTTAGGCTTTAGGGATGTAGTGTTTAGGGAGGGCTTCCTACCACGAGCTGTCCTGACTCGGTTGTTCTCTGTGTCTTCGCTATACCTCCTGGCCATAGCATCGAACCCTTTGGGTCCATGTACCCAAATCGTATATACGTTGGCCCCAAAGTATGCCAAAAACGAAAGGGACTACTTTAAGGCCAAAGTATATACTACTTGGGCGCATGGACCCTGAGTGGAATGTATGAGCGGTAGATTCCGGTATACTCTGAACCCGGAGCCTACATACCGCAAAGTCCAGAAAACGCTTGAAGCCAAAAGTTGGAACTCCTTCAAGCCAAAACAACTCAGGTTTTGCGTCTTCCACCTCGATGCCTGAACCATGAGTTCAATTGAGGCCCAAGCTTGCCAAAAACTCGCCTCGTTCATGTTGTGACTCTTCTTGACACCTGCGACCCTAAACTCCGTAAACACCGAACGCCCTCAGCCTTGAACTCCCTAAACCGCAAACCCCCTTAAGCCCGGATGAACACGAATTCTCACTTAAACGTCAAGCCCCCTCCACCCGAAAGGACCAATGTTACTAGTTATTGCGGAACCCTACCTATAGTCTCCATTGTAGTTCCCAATTTTACATAAAGGGTCCTATAAGGTAACAACCAAACAGGAACTGCAATGGAAACCCTAGCTATACCCTAAGATGGTGAATTCCGAAGTGTTCAATCGTCTACCCCTCGTGCAGCTCCCGGGGCCTCCTCCAAACAGGGAGCCGCCGCTGCTTGCACCACCTGACCCATAACCCTAACCCGGTTTCGGGTTCAGGGTTCAGGGTTCAGGGTTTAGGGTTTAGGGTTTAGGGTTTAGGGTTTGGGGTGGGTTTAAAGTATAGGGTCTGACAAACCCGAAACCCTAAAACGAAAAGCCTCAATGAAATCCAAAAAGGAGCTCCAGGCCTTTGAGATCTATGGACATGGGTGGTTGCCAAAATCAGGGTCCCTTTTTGGGTACCCTAAATATTAGATGCCGTAGTATATCACGGACCCAAAAAGGGACCATAATTTTGACAACCACCCAGCGGGGTTCAGGCTTTGACATTCCGCAGCTGAGGCTGTTTGGGGTTTAGGGCCCAGGGCTGAGAGTTTAGGGTGTAGGGTTTAGGGTTTAGGGATACGGTTTAGGGTTTAGGGTCTGGGGTTTAGGGTTTAGGGCTTAGGCTTCAGGGTTTAGGGATTTAGTGTTTATAGGGAGGGCTTCCTACCGCGAGCTGTCCTGACTCGAAGGTTGTTTTCTGTGTCTTCGCTATACCTCCTGGCCAAAGCATCGAACCCTTTGGGTCCATGTACCCAAATAGTATATACGTTGGCCCCAAAGTATCCCAAAAAGGGACTACTTTAAGGCCAAAGTATATACTACTTGGGCACATGGACCCTTTTTGGGATGTATGAGGATACGGTAGATTCCGGTATACTCTGAACCCGCGAGCCTAAATACCGCAAAAGTCCAGAAAACGGTCGAAGCCAGAAGTTGGAACTCCTTCAAGCCAAAACAAATCAGGTTTTGCGTCTTCCACCCCGATGCTTGAACCATGAGTTTAATTGAGGCCCAAGCTTGCCAAGAACTGGCCACGTTCATGTTTCAACTCTTTTTGACACACCCGACCCTAAACTCCGTAAACACCAAACACACTCAGCCTTGAACTCCCTAATCCGCAAACCCCCTTAAGCCCTAAACTTACCTCAGAGCTCCCGAATCACGAGCCTCCCGTGATGCCAAGACTGGGCGTTGGCGCGGCGGCGTTTTGTGAGATTTCCGGCTCCGGCTGCCTCTGTGCTTAGGGTTTAGGGTTTAGGGTTTAGGATTTAGGGTTTAGGGTTTAGGGTTTAGGGTTTAGGGTTTAGGGTTTAGGGTTTAGGGTTTAGGTTGGATCCTGGGCTGTGGTTCCGGGCCCTTGCCAAGAGCACTGCAGTGTTGGGGTTGGCATAAGGTGACCACACGGCCCTAGGTCAAGAGATGAGTGGGTTTAGGGTTTAGGGTTTAGGGTTTAGGGTTTAGGGTTTTTGGATGATTGATGAGTATCCCTAAGCCCCCAGTTACCTACTATATAGGGCCTTAGGGGCTCTAGTACCCTATATAGTAGGTACCTGGGGGGTTAGAGTATTCTACATCATATATCTACATGTCATGGGCGGTTCCGGCGGTTTGGGGGTGCAGGTGCTGCATATAGAGTGTGAGAGGATACCTGATAGAGACCCCCAAGCGATTCGGCGTTCTAGGCTCTGCTGACTCTACCTTTAGTTTACACTATAGCTGCTTTGCTTGGTGAACCGATTTTTATGGACAGAAAAGGACCCTATTTTCTTGCCGGTTAACAAAAAAAGAACTGCAATGGAGAAGATTGGAAGTGTAGCCGAAACACCCACTACGGTTCTGGCAATCATGACGGTCGGCTCCATACGGTACCCTGGTACAGAGTTAGGGGGATCACGGCATCTACGGCGACCCAAACCCCGAAACTCTAAAACCTAAGGCCTAGATTGACCCCGAAACCCTCAACTCTATGTAGATCCTAATCCCCAAATCCACAACCCTGGGCCCCAAAACCTTGGTCTCATATTATTTGCACTTTTCGTGTCTACCAAAAAATTTCGGAGATCCAGCTGCTACGTCAACGTCGAAGATCACAAAGGCCACCAGACACACTGAAGGCTTCTAGTAGCCCTGCCCATAGGCCCCATAGTAGTTCCTTTCTGTGGCTGATATTTAGGACCCTATTAGGTAATCCCAAAAAGGAACTACTATGGGGCCCATGGGTAAACCCTAAACCCTGAACCCGGATGATAGGATGCTTTGGGGCTTTGAGTTGGGGGTTCTCCTTCTGTCAAACGCCAATCCGAAGGGTCCTCTTACACATCCCTGTAGTGCTGCTAGGGTTTAGGGTTTAGGGTTTAGGGTTTAGGGTTTAGGGGATTAGGGTTTAGGAGTTTCCGAAAATTAGGGAGTACCTTATTTAGGGGTCCTTATAATAAGGATCCTACTATTTAAATTAGGGTACTGTACTTAGGGTTCCCTATTTTCGGAAACTCCCAAATCCCTGTAGTGCTGCTGCACCAGTGGCTCAACAACAGCTCTTCACAGCACAATTGCTTGAAGAGTGGGCTGTGTGGTTATGGTTATGGGTATTAGATAATTATGAGGTCCAAATGTAGTTAGCCTAAGTGGTTGTAACCCCGCAAAATATGTTTAACGCCCCGGTCTGAACCTGTTACTGCAGGGCGACTTCGCGTAAAGATACTGTGTGGCGGCCGTCAAAGGTACTAGAATGCCAGCCCAATATCACCTGAACTCTAATCCTAAACGCTGTAAGCCCACACCCTAAACTCAAGCCATGGCGCACGTTGTACTTCTTGCCTTGGCGCTGAGAGATATGGCTGTTTCTCACCACTCGCGGTCATTCAGATATAGGGTTCAAAAGGGTTTACGGCTTTGGGTTCAGGGTTTAGGGCTCCTAATTCTAAGAGTGCTGCGATCTAAGCTCTGCATAGGCCCGGCTTACTGTCTGAAGCTTCCGTATCATGAGGTGTTCGTTCATGTTGCTTTATCCCTTCTCGGGCCCCAGACACGCTAAAAGGACTTCAGGCAGCTGGGTACCAAGATAAGTGCTGCGAAGCTGGGGGTTCGGGCCCTCAGTTTTCCAAGATTAAAGTGGTGGTTGGGGTCACCCTAAACCCCAAACTCCAACCCTAAACCCCGTATAAACCCTAAACCCTAATTCGAGATATCGCGGGTCTCGATTCTGGTCGCTTCACGGAATTCAGCTTAGGGTTTCGGCCATTCGCTGCGACGGACAGGGTTGTCTGACCAATGCGTGGTCGTTTTGGGGGTGTCCTTATGAATGGGTTTATTGTTTTTGTTTTTTTGGGGGAGGGGTGTCCTTATTAATGGGCTTAGGGTTTAGCGTTGCGGAGTGTCCTTATGAATGGGTTTAGGGCTATAGACTTATTCTGAGGATCCTATGATTGAGGGTCTATGGGTCTAGAGGTAGCAAGGTCTTTCATATTCCGAAGTTTCCATATAGGATCATTGGCAGTGGGTCCATAGACCAGCAGGTGCATCCTGAATCTCTAGGCACGACAAATTGCAGCGCTTTGCGTTTAAAGTCAAGGCTTGTTCCGATCACTGGGATGGGGCATATGCAACATTTGCAGTGCCCCGAAACCCTGAACTTAGACCTTAAGCCCTAAACTCCTTCAAATCTAGACCCTGCACCCTAAAGCAAGCAAGCACGGTGTACCTTTCGGGCTCTGCTTTCGTGGCCGACTGGACTTGACCTTTTGCAACTTACATTCACCTGCTGAAATCCGAGCCTGACCTGAACCATCAACACACCCAATCTAGGCGTTTAGGACTTGGGGCTTTTATGGCCTTTAGGGTATTTAGGGTTTAGGGTTCAAGGTCTATAAAGGCTACAATAAGGGTTTCGGGTTTAGCGGCCTGAATAGTTAGAATAGGGTCTTGGGGTCCTCTATATTATATTTATAATGAGGAACCCCCAAAAGAATATAGGTACTTATTGAGGCCCCTATATTAACTGTGAGTTTCTAGTAGGTTCTTTAGCAGGTGTTTGTTTTGAAGTGGAGGGGGAGGTACAGCTTCAGCCGCGATGCAAATCTTTAGGTACATGGTGTGCTCCTGGCCGACGTACTTGCCCATCAGAGTGTCGATCTCGTTCCTGAGAAAGAGGCTCAAAACTCTGAGTATGGGGGCCTTAAGAGCGAGAACCAGTTTTTGGGGTATTCATAAATCGGCGATACCTTTACAGGGACCACTAAATCAAGTGCATAGGACTACTCGAGACACCTACATTATCCCCGAAAGCCCTGCAAACCTGCGCGGCCGAACCCATGAAGTCGCAAGCCCTGAAGCCACAAGCCGCATGCACTAAACCCTAATGAACCTTAAACCCTAAACCCTAAACCCCTAAACCCTAAACCCTAATGCACTTAACCACGTGGCTCCTTTCTAGCGGCATGTTTCAAATGGCTCCGTGGGCTTACTGTTCGGTAAGGGGCGGTGACCAAACCTTAAACTTAACCCTCAACCCTAAAATCTGAACGCCATACATAATATATATATATATACACATACATACATGCATGCATACATACATACATACATACACATGTGGTATATAGAATGCTAAGTTTGTGGAGGCCGGGATCTGCAAAAGATTGCTAGATGTGCGACTTTCCGGCTCAGCGTTCCAGTCTGTACGGGATTCTTCAGGGGTCTCTCTTTCTCTCTCTCTCTCTCTCTCTCTTTCTCTAATATGTATGTATATATATATATATATGTAACATAATATATAACCATAATATATAACTTTCTATATATTTCTACGTATATATATATATATAGGGATAGGGCTCTTTAGGGTCTTATAAAGTCCCCCGAAGCTGAAAGGATAACAACAAAAAGCAGGCTTTAAAGGGTCCTGGAAGGGTTTGGGGCTTCGGGTTTCACTTGTTACCCGACAGCTCGTCTCTGCCTGTTTTCCTACACCCCCGCAAAACCCTAAACCCTAAACCCCTTATCCTAGACCCCCCAACTACCCTCTATTATCCCGCAAATACCCACTATTCAGGACCATAAGGTCTCTATTAAAGGGCCATTGGGGGGTCCTGGATTGGCTTCTTTTTGAAGGTTGTTTGTGTTTTCCATAAGCCTTCTTGACGGGTTCTCTAAGGTCTGAGGGCTCCTGCAACGAAGTACGTAGTATGTGCCTTGGCCTTCTATGGCCGTTTAGGTACCCCCGTATACCCTATAATAACCGTACTCGTAAGCCTATAGCCTGCCTCAACGTGTTATGGTTGGTTACCCTAAACCCTAAACCCTAAACTGTTATGGCTGCTCTACCGCGACTGTCTCATACTTATTTCACTTCGGGGACCGATCAAACAGAGTACCGAGAACCCTTCGGGGTTGACCCGCCATTTGAGCCCAAAGATCCACCTGTCTATCTAAAACAAGCAAGGTTCAGGATTAGGGTTTAAGTTTTTGTTGTTGCTGTTGTTGCTGCTGTTGTGTTTGCTTGTTTTGTTGCTGTTGCTGTTGCTACTGTTGCTTTTGCTGCAGTTGCTGTTGTTGTTGCTGCTATTGCTGCTACTGTTGTTGATGTTGCTGTTGCTATTGCTGCTGTCTGTTGTTGCTGTCGTTGTTCATGATGTTGGCGATGTTGTCGTTGTTGTTGTTGTTGCTGCTCTACTGCTGCTGTTGTCGTCGTCGTTGTTGTTGTTGTTGTTGCTGTTTCCGTTGTTGTCGTCTTCGTCGTGGTTGTTGTTGTTGTTGGTGGTGGTGGTGGTGGTGGCGGTGGTGCCGTTGTTAATGTTGTTGTTGATGATGATGTTGTTGCTGCTGCTTTTGTATGCCCCTTCATTCGAACGAGGGATGAGAAACAAGTCGAATGCGCTCAGGAAACCTCGCACTAAGCACATTCCGGACTCAGAGGCAGCAATCCAGGAATATCGCTGCGCTTGTAACGCCGCCATGCGTCACTTTGCTCGGGTTGTGCTGCTGGTAGATCTTGATCATCCGCTCGCGATACGCCTGAAACACGCCCTAAAACCCACACCCTGAACCCTTAAACCCTACATAAACCCTAGATGCTGCAGGCTTGCAAGCAAGAACGCCTGACCCTAAACCCCAAACCCTGAGCCCTAAAACCGAACCCGAGGTTCTCAAGACCTGATGATGAAAGAAGCAGGCTGAAAGACCATGGTCTTTGTTCTAAGGTACGGGGTTTATGGTTTAGGGTTTTAGGGTAGACCCGAAAATCTGGCCCTTTCCGAAATCGTTGATCTTAGATTGTGGCTATGGGATGGAAACCGAAAACTGGGTTCTCCGAAAAAGCACACTCGCAGGTCTACTGGCAGATTCAAGGTTTGTGAACCTCGGTGTTTTGTAAGGGCTTTGCAATGGCCATTTTCAACCCGCATAACAACCTAAAGCCTACACGCAAAAGCCTCAACCCTAACACACCAAATCCAAAACAAATCTCATCTCTACAGACCCTTAACCAGTAAACGCCACGACCCATCAACACCCTGAGCCCGTATGATAACACTTACAGAAGCCTCATAAACAAAAACTAAAGCCCCTGTACACCCATACAAGAAACTTACCACCAGAGCAGCAAAACTCATGCAAAACCCTCAAACCCCGATAAAGAAGCTACGAAATACCTCGATGTCTAAGCGATGCGCCCAAGCTCTCTGCGCCTGCTTCACATCAACAGGTCCGGTTGCGGGGGCTGCCGACGGCGCGCCAAAGAGTCCTAGAACTTTTTTGGCTGTATAGAAACCTCGCGTGTGCGTGGTCTATCAATCGTCATCTATCTATCTATCTATCTATCTATCTGTCTATGTGTCTATCTATCTATATCAGGCTAGACACGGTTTCTTACAGACTTTTAACTATGGGGGTTGACGATTCTGATGATTTTCTGTACATTTTTGGTTGCGGGGCTTGTTTGGGTTTATTCCGGTGGCTCCAACTACTTACCTACCATTTTCAACCGGTTTTAGGCGTCATGTGGTTTACACTTTGCAGCTTGATTGGCGAATAACCTCACAATCCAAGTTTAGCCAAAACCCTGGATACACAGCACCCTTAACCTCCAACACCAAAGCAAAGTGGGAAGCCTCACTGGCGTACAAACGCAGAGAGCGATGTAGCCTCTGAATCCTAAACCCTAAACCCTAAACACTAAACCCTAAACCCTAAGACTCTAAATAGCCAGAAGGTCTGCCTGTGCATCTCGAAATATGCACCTCACCCTGTCACAGCAGGCTACTGTCTGAAAGCAGGGCTCTGAATTTGGGGTGTCGGGTTTGAAGAGTTTCATGTCGCTTAGTAACTTAAACAGCTTAACACATCTACGGCAGGTGAGAAGAAGCATGAGTATTGTGCGCTTCGACACAAGGTTGGACAGTTTGTATAAGTCGCAGAATCTTGAGAATCAGCGAAGATCACGACCGCCGGAAAAGTCTAACAACCCTCAGCGGGGTGATGGGACAACTCAGGTTCCGTAGAACCCCGAACTCTCAACTCCAAACCCCTAACTCTGAACTCTGAACTCTTAACAGCCTTAACTCTAAACTCCAAACCCTAAACCCCTAACCCCTAANNACCCCTAAACCCTAAACTCTAACTCAAGAGGCCCCTAACAGCCCTTGGGCCCCAGCCGCCGGACGAGGCAGCTAGGCTCGAAGCACCTTGGAGGATTACGACTTAAATCTAGGGTTTGGGGTTGAGGGTTTCGNNTTTAGGGATTAGGGCTTTAGGGCTTTCTTGTGGGTTTAAACCTTAGGGTATAGGGTTTAGGCTTGTTTTGAGTGGAGGGCCAGTGGAGGGGGGGCTTGGTTAAAAGGTGCAAAAGGCAAAATGAATCGATAAGTAGGGAACAACCGCTAACCTTTAGCCAGAGATCGAATCTCTACACTGAAACCTCAAAAGCCCTGTTGTTAACCGTACAAGCTCCTATAAAGTCCTAGCCCAGATNNATTCTCCCAAGAACAGGAGCAAACGAGACTCAACCTAGCCTGAAGAAGGTCGCTTCCTCCCATCCTGTCGGAGTTGAATCCACAGCCACCGGCAACACATAGAAACCCGATGCTCTCAAGTTCCGAAGCCTTAAACAATAATTCAGGGTGAGAGAATGATGTGGTAACATGTTAGTATAAAGGTGCTGATCCTGACCCAACGTATACCGGCTTCCCAAGTACGTATGTCCTTAACAACAACCCTTTATGGAAACCTTAAGGGAGGGCTCGGGAATGGCCTCCAGACGACGGCGCTCCGAAGAGAGACGCCCCACTGCTCATCCCACCTGTTCTGTGCATGCGTGGATTCTGTATGCGAGGTTCCGAAGAAGCGAGGTCCTGACCCAAAGACGCCACAAGCCCTTTAAGGGCGCCGTATTTCCAGGAGATCTCAGAAACGAGGGGCCTGCAGCGATTCCATGAGGGGTCTTGCGTGTCTTTATATGTAGTTTTCTTAACATAAGGCCGCCACCACTGCCGCCAGCAAGGCCCCCCCCCCCCCCCCCCCGCCCCCACGCTCCGTGCACGGGCAGAAATCGAGTCCTACAAGGCTTACACATATCTTCCTGCCAGTGTAGGGCCCTCATGTACCTGTTAGGAAACGACCTTCATTAATTTTCGGGATGGCTCTGCCATTGAAGGTGTTGGTAATCTTTCGTTCTGATGGCCGCTGCTGCCCTAAACACCAAGCCACCTCAGCTCCCCAAAGCCCAGACGACCCTTCCAAATTACAAAGCCCTTGAAGCAGCCCTTATAGCAGCCCGAAACCGGCCCCAAACCCTAAACCCTA